CTTATGATATCTTACTATCTGATTATACACGGTAGAGAACTTGACTTGCATTGTCGGAGATAGTGAATTGTTCAATTGCTTAATTGTGTTCATGAATGAGAATTGTGTTTGAACTCAATTGATGTGTGTATTGGTTGTGTGGGAGTTGAGGCGTTGCTTGAATTTAAAGTCTTCATTGAATATTTATTTTGTGGTGAGAGACTAACATGGATGAATTTTGTGTGTAAATTCATTGCAAATCCTCACGAGACTATAACTCGGCCACTAGGAATAACCTTGTAGTTTAAAGACTTGTTATACGTGCTAACTGTAGTTATGAGTCCGACGAAGTGGCCTATGATAGTTTATTTTAGTTTATTTTATTTTTTCTTTTTACTTTGCTCGAGGACTTGCATTTGCTAAGTCTCAAGTCATTGTTACTTGGCTTAATTATTCCACTTATATGTTTTTTTTTTTTTTTGTAGTTGAACTCTTATGGTGGGATAGTTCTTTAAATGGAGTTTTTCAGAAGTTTGTGGAGCCTTGATGATAGAGTGCCAATTGGGTCACAAGAACAAGAAGGAAAATTTTCTGCACTTTTCTGCCTGGGCGAGGGGAGCAGAAACAGAATTAGCTCTCAGCATTTTTCTGCCCCAGTTAGTCTGGCAAGATACTCACGACTTTTAGTTAATTTGGCATTTATTTTTCCCATTAAGACCTAATTAGGGAAGGACTATATAAGTCTCTTTTAAAGACTTAGAGAGGGTTCCACTTATTAAAGAAAACGGCTTGATGAATGGCTAGGCATTCCACTTAGGTTTAGATGACAACCTAGCCTAGTTGCGTTGACTATTTTATTTAGTTTTGGGATTGGTTTGTTGATACAAATTGTATAACTTTGACACAATATTTTTATCGGAATGGATAATGCCATGAACGAGAAGAATATTTTGGATGGGTTTATATACTCCCTGTCAAATGAGCTATGTCTGAATTTTTATGTTTTTGGGTTCAAATACCATCATAAATAGTTTCAATCATTAAATACACCATGCAATAGGATCATTTTTTTTTTCATTTGTTGGAAACATAATTACCACATTTAAGTTTATGGCCTTTTAGGGATGCAGAGAATGTAATGGTCCATTATAGACTAAATGCATGTGAGAAGCGCTCGTGCATTGGTGGGCTGGCTGTGAAATATAGCTAGGTTCCCTTCTAACACATATTCCAACTCCTCTAATCTGTTCTCGACAGTCCCGATGGACTAGCGAGATTTGAACCCATGAAACTACCGTTGATTCTCATAAACTAACCTACCTTATAGAGAGACTTGATACGAGTGGTGCTCTATGATTTTATAACAGGCAAATCATTAAATGTATAGATATGCCGTGCACCTTCTAAGGGGAGGATAGATAAGTCCTTGTTGGCCACATCCAGAATGTCATCCATAGGCTCAAAATGAGTCCATCCTCACCCGGTGTAAAAAAATAGAGAAACAAACTTACCTCATCCTAACTCTGTTTCTTTCCCTTCTTCTCTTTCTCTCTCTACTCCATCGTACAAATTTATATGCAAAATGATATGATACTTTGTGATCTTTTCATTTCAAATTAAATCATTTACCATTTTAGCTTATGATTTCAAGAAATTCCACTGTTAGATGTTCTTGTTGAGTTATATATATAATATAACCAAACCAAACCAAAGCTTAAGTCTCCTCAAATGGGGTTGGCTACATGAATCCTTCGTCTCCATGCGGCCCTATCAAAGGCCATTTCTTTAGTCAAATTAAGTAGATCCATATCTCTATTTACAATGCTAACAACGTTAATCTAGGCCTACCCCGTCCCCTAATACTCCCATCTACTGTTACAGCATCGCATCTCTTCATTACTGCCTCTGTTGGTCTCCGTTAAATGTGACCAAACCATTTCAATTGATTCTCTCTTAACTTATCTTCTATTAGTGCTACTCTTATCCATTCCCAAATATACTCATTCCTAATTCTGTCTTGTTTAGTCTTGCCATACATTCATCTTAGCATCCTCATCTCAGACACACTCATCTTATCTACATGTTGTTTCTTGGTTGCCCAACACTCCGTCCCATACAATATCGTTGGTTTAATAGCCGTTGTATAGAACTTACCTTTTAGTCTAATGGGTATTCGTTTATCGCACAGTACCCTAGACACACTTCTCTACTTATACCATCCCGCGTTAATCCTATGGGTCACATCCGCATCAATCTCCCCCGCTGTTGTGATAATTGACCCTAAATAACGAAAATGTCCACTCTTAGGTAGTTCTTGGTTTTCAATCGTCACTTCTCCTCTACTTTCATTGTTACTGTTATTAAATTTACACTCGATGTACTATTTTAGTTCTGCTTATCTGGAATCTTTTAGATTCAAGAGCTTTTTTCCAAATCTCCAACTTTATCTTAACTCTTTCTCTAGTCTCATCTACTAGCACGATATCGTCTGCAAAAAGCATACACCATGGCACGCCATCCTGAATATTTCTTGTCAACTCATCCATAACAAAAGCAAAAAGATAAGGACTTAAGGTAGATCCTTGGTGTAACCCTACATTGATAGGAAATTCATTTGTCTCTCCAGCAGACGATCTAATAGTGGTCACCACTCCTTCATACATGTCCCTAATCACATCAATGTAAAATTTTGTTACTCCTTTCTTCTCTAACACCCACCATATTATATCTCGAGGCACTCTATCATATGCTTTCTCAAAGTCAATAAAACACCATATAAATGTCTCTTTTCTTTTCTCTATACTTTTCTATTACTCTTCTCAAAAGATAAATCACTTCCATTGTTGACCCTGCTAGGCATAAACCCAAATTAATTCTCTGACACTTCTGTTATATCTCGCAATCGGCGTTCCATCACCCTCTCCTACACTTTCATTATATGACACATTAGCTTGATTCCTCTATAGTTGTTGTAATTCTGGATATCTCTTTTATTCTTATAAATTGGCATTAAAATACTCTTTCTCCACTCATCTGGCATGTTCCTAGTCAACAAAATTTTGCTAAACAGCCTAGTTAACCAAGCAACCCTTTTTTATCCAAACACTTCCAAGTTTCAATAGGGATATCATCGGGTCCTAAAGCCTTATTTGATTTCATCTTCTTAAGTGCAATCTCCACTTCAAAGTTCCTAATCCTGATATAGAACCTATAGTCTTGGTTTATCATATTATTGACTATTTCTTCCCCTATTGTCGTACCTCCATGTTTCTTATTTAATAGTTTCTCAAAATAGTTATTCCATCTTTCCTTAATCTCTTCATCCTTCACCAATGCCTTAGAATCCTCACTCTTGATGCACTTAACTTGATTAAAATTTCTTGTTTTCCTCTCCCCGTATCTTAGCAAGTTTGTATACCTTCTTCTCTCCCTCCTTATTATTTAGTCTAGTGTATAGGTCATCATAAGCTTTCAATTTAGCCTCTCCCACTACTTTTTTGACCTCCTTATTAGCCAATCTATAGCTCTTAAGGTTTTGCTCAGTTATATCCTTTTGCACTTTTTAAAGCATTTTTTTTACCTTAACTACCGCTTGAACCTCTTCTCTCCACTATCAAGTTTCCTTAGAGCTGGGTCCTATTTCTTTCACTCTCCAAGCACTTCCCTCGAGATTCTCCTCATACAATTGGCCATCGAGTTCCACATAGTGTTAGCATCATCTTTCAAGTCCCAAGTACCTTCCTTATCCATTCTATTCTTAAATATTTCTAGTTTATCCCCTTTTAGGTCCCACCATCTCGTCCTACGACGCCCACCATCCTTCCTAGCTTGGAATTGCCCTCTAAAACATAAATCTAGTATCAAAATCCTATGTTGAGAGGCCAGACTCTCTCCAGGAATCACCTTACAATTAATACATTTTAGGTGGTCCACTTTTCTCACTAAGAAGTAATCTATTTGGCTCTTAACTGACCCACTCTTAAAGGTTATCAAGTACTCCTCCCTCTTCTTATACATAGTATTGGCCACCACCAGGTCAAGAGCCAACGCAAAATCTAAGATACTCTCTCCAGCCTCATTTCTGTCACCAAAACTCTATCCACCATGTACCCTTTTATAGCCTAGTTTATCTATGCCTACATGGCCATTAAATCTAGTTATATATATAATATATATATGCAAAATTCCACCCCCCTTGTCCATGAATATGATAAAAAAAAAAATTCTCATACAATGTTCCTCCAATTTGACTTAGCTGGCGAGCAATCCCAGTTGGTGACAGAGAACAAGATTGCAAGCCAGAGCACCTTTGATTGGTTGTTCTCCACCAAGCATGGAACTTTAAAGATAACTATAGGTTGGTGGCTGGTTAAGGAAACTCCAGTTTTTAATCCCCTAAATTCTATTTGTAAGTTATTTATTTATTTTTAAATTAAATAACAAATGATATGTATTTAAAAGATATTCATTATTTAAAATATATGGATCAAATTTATTGTGAGTGCAACTCACACTACATTAAATAGTATATTTATTCTCAAATGTCGTTTGATTGAATTTTCAGAATCTATTTCTTGAAAACAAACATCCCAATGAAGATAGAAAAAGAGGAAGTGTTTCAATCCAAGTTGTACACATGGTTCTAAATAACCATTATACGTATCAGTATCCGTGATACTTATTTAAACTTGAGTGTACAATATTTAAGGCGTTTTTGTTCTTTTTCAGTTGTCACCTTATCATTCAAAATGCCTACCTATAGATACTGTCAACCATTTTGCTTTTTAGTTTTATTTTGTTAAAAAACAACGCAAGTCCAAGACCTAACATTTTCATAATACTTTCGCTAGCAATGTTTTAAACTAACTTTTCATTATAAAAACTTGCATCCACACCTACATTGAGTGTTCTCATCTCACCATTAGAGAGAGACATGAATTTTTTCTACATTTCCCATGTTGTAGTGCTTGTGGTTCTAGTGGGCTTGCTGACTAATTTCTATCCGTTGTTGTGTGATGTAGATCCAACTGATGGATTCACAAATATTCCATTAACAGAATCGAACTTCAAACTGCAGAAACCATATGACATACCACTTGAGCAGCGCTACAGCTTCCAAAATGGAGTTCACCGCTTGTGGGTCTATGCCGATGACAAGCCATATGACCCCAGTAGTCCTGCCCAGCCCCGCACCGAGATTCGCATACTAGTACTCTCTCTCTACTTAAATTTTGTTTATATATATATGTGGAAAATTCTATGGTATATTTAATTGTGTACTTATTTTCTGTATTTCATTATGGGTAAATTACATGAATAATGGCCTATATAATTTCAATCAATTCGAGTTTGTTCATTAATATTTTATTTTGTGTTAATATGATTCAATTGATAGCAAAAGGTTTTGTTTTTTTGTTGGATTAATCACATTTTTAGTCCTCAAAATATAAATCTCATGTCATTTTGGTCCTCAATATTTAAATTGGGTCAATTTGGTCTTATATAGTAGGGACTAGATTGACACAATTTAAAAATTGGGGACAAAATTGAAACACTTTTATATATTGGGAACCAAATTGATACAATTTAAAATTAGAGACTAAAATGACACAACTCATACTTTAGGAGCCATACTAAAATCACACATGGCCTATTTTCAAGAATAAAATGATAAATTCAGTGCCCAGCTCAGCGAGTTAGCTCACTCAACTAAAACCCAACTCCTCTCTTCTTCCCGCGGCTAGCCACTCTCGGTCCTTCCCTCCCATCATTAGATCACCCCCAATCCTCCCTCTTGATTTATATTTCCTCCTAAGAAGTGAAAGCCAAAAGATTGAAATGGAATTCAAATCTAGGAGAAACCCAAATTCCTCTGCCCGCATGGCTTTAGGATTATGAGGATGGATGGCAGTGATGAATTCACCATTTTGCTCATACAAATATATCACGTGAGCTGTGATGCCTATTATCCTTAAATTGACACATTAAAAATTTAGGAAAAATCAAACTAATTGAAACTATAGGGTCTAAATCGATACAAGAAGCAAAGTATAGACACTACTAACATAATTTTTCCTTTCATTTATCTTTCTTTACTAATATTGCATGCATGAATTTATGTTTCTCAATGTGGGTTGAGTCTTGATCCCAATCTTATTGAGGGCATAGTCGTCACCCTATGTGTGACCATAGGAGCCCTTACCCATTAGAAGGCCCAACAAGAGGAGTCTAGAGAGGTTTGCAGACATTGGGGGTTTGCGAGGGATCTACAAGTGCTCCCTCAAAGAGGGCTGAGCCATAGTGGCAAAAGATCCATGGTGCAGCCAATGATCCCAAAGGCACAACAATAGTACTAAGGATCTTTAATGGGGACATGAGGTACTATAGCCATGACTTAGGGGCCATTTCCCTAAATAAGCCGAATTATCAATTCAATTCCCAAATTAAGCTTAGTTTTGAAAGAATTCCCAAAATAGGCTAAAACGTGGTTCACAACCACGCTTTCAACGTTTGTCCCATGAAAATGGCGAAATCGTAAAAGCGTGGTTACAAACCACGCTTTTAATTAAGAAAGCGTTGTTCCTAATCACGCTTTTAAATAAGTTTTTTTTTTCCTTCAAAAAACGTGGTTTCTAACCACGCTTTTAAAGAATTTTTTTTTTTTAAAAAAAACGTGATTTCTAACCATGTTTTTAAATAAAACTGTGTTGTAAATAAAGCGTGGTTATAAACCACGCTTTCAACACTCACAACCCACGCACTCACTCACAGCCACACCACACACTCTCTCCCGCTCTCTGACACATCACTCACACACGGTTTAGTGGAGTAGGTGGATTTTAACAAATTTTTTTTTTTTTAAAAAAACGTGATTTCTAACCATGTTTTTAAATAAAACTGTGTTGTAAATAAAGCGTGGTTATAAACCACGCTTTCAACACTCACAACCCACGCACTCACTCACAGCCACACCACACACTCTCTCCCGCTCTCTGACACATCACTCACACACAACTCACACTCACACACAACTCACATCAAAATAAATATAAATAAATTTTAAGAATTAAATAAATATAAATAAATAAATAATGTTTAAAAACAAATAAATTTTAAGAATTAAACCCTAAATCTTAAAATAAAAAAAAAATAAATTTTATCCCTAAACAGTAAAGTAACGTTTGATAACGTTTACGTTTTTAGTTTATGTTTACAAAAATAATTGAAAAAAATTTAATTGGAAAACAATTTAATTGAAAAAAATGAAAAAAAATTAATTAAAAAATAACTGAAAAAAAATTTAATTGGGAAAAAAAATATATTTCAAATAATTTTTATCAAATAATTTTTTTTCAATTATTTGAAATATATTTTTTTCCAATTACATTATTTGAAAAAAAAATTATTATTTGAAAATAAATTATTTGAAATATATATTTTTTCAAATATTATTTTTTGTTCAAATAATTTTTTTTTTCAAATAATTTTTTTTTCAATTATTTTTTTAATTAATTTTGTTTTCAATTAATTTTTTTTTCAAATATATATTTTTTTCAATTAAAATTTGGCCTAATTTTCAAATAATAATTTTTTTTTCAAATATATATTTTTTTCAATTATTTTTTTTAATTAATTTTTTTTCAATTATAATATGTGTGATCCCATTGTCATAAATAATAAATATAAATATAAATATTTTAAGCTTGAAAAAAAAATTTATTTGAAATATATTTTTTTTCAAATAGTATTTTTTTCCAATTAAATTTTTTTCAATTATAATATGTGATATTATTGTCACAAATAATAAATATAAATATAAATATTTTAAGTTTGAACAAACATATTTTTTAGTTTATGTTTTTAAATTTTTTAAAATATTTTGTTCAAACTAAACGCATTTATAATTTATGTTTTTCTGAAAATAAACAAAAATCAGTTTATAAAATTTTTGTAAACATAAACTAAAAACGTAAACGTTATCAAACGTTACTTTACTGTTTAGGGATAAAAATTTTTATTTTATTTTAAGATTTAGGGTTTAATTCTTAAAATTTATTTATTTTTAAATATTATTTATTTATTTATATTTATTTAATTCTTAAAATTTATTTATATTTATTTTGATGTGAGTTGCGTGTGAGTGTGAGTTGTGTGTGAGTGATGTGTCAGAGAGAGGGAGAGAGTGTGTGGTGTGGCTGTGAGTGAGTGCGTGGGTTGTGAGTGTTGAAAGCGTGGTTTCTAACCACGCTTTCTTTATAACACAGTTTTGTTTAAAAGCGTGATTCGAAATCACGTTTTTTGAAAAAAAAAAAAAATCTTTAAAAGCGTGGTTAGAAACTACGTTTTTTGAAAAAAAAAATTTATTTAAAAACGTGATTAGGAATAACGTTTTCTTAATTAAAAGCGTGGTTTGTAACCACGCTTTTACGATTACGCCATTTTCACGGGACAAACATTGAAAGCGTGGTTTTGAACCATGTTTTAGCCTATTTTGAGAATTCTTTCAAAACTAAGCTTAGTTTAGGAATTGAATTGATAATTTGGCTTATTCAGGGAAATGGCCCATGACTTAGTGACCACTGATCTGTATGATAAATGGTTCAGACCATAATGTGGATAAAGGGATAGTGATGAAAGTCTTCATCAATGACTCAAAAAAGTTTAGGGTGAAGGATAGAGGCCCCAGTGATTTGTTTTTTTAAGTGTGGAGTTTATGCTGCACCAACTAATGTAAGCTACTATATGAGTCAAGGTGGAAAGACATCAAAATATTCAAGAAGTGCAATTAAAAGCCTCGTTTAAGATAAATATACTAGTTTGCTTGTGGGATGATTGATAGAGCATTTATGAAAAGTTAGTTCATAGTCCTATATATGTCATGGGTGTACTTTTTTGATGGTAAACAATCAGTCTATCATATATGCAAAGTTTTTTTTTTGGTTTTTTTGGTCAAGATATTCACAATCATTTATTTATGTGAAAATTTTGATGTGTGAAAAATCTCGAGACACGATCCAACAATGATGAGTATGTAAGACAAATAGGTAAAAGGATTTGGAGGCTAAGAATTGAGTATCCATTTCTCTACTATGGCGTAAAAAAAAATAAAAAAAAATTCTCTGCTATGGATTCTGTCTCTCCTTCCTTGTCGCTATGTTTGGAGACAGATGCATTTATGCACAATAGATTCTCTCGCCTACCTTGTCACTCCATATTACATCTCTGTCATATAATGGATCTCTCTAACCAGATCATATGTAGAAAGGAGATTTAGAATAGTATGGGACAGGGATCCACATTTCTCTCTCCAAAACACAATTTTTTCTTGATGAGATGATTAATACTTAAACGGGGTGTGATTTAGCTAAATTAAGAACACTGACATACCTATGGTGTACTCTGGTTGTGCCAACAAATATATCCAGACAATTGGCAACCATAACAATTTGTAATGCCTAATTTTTCTAAAACATTTTGAAGTGTTTTAGTTTATGGGTCTAATGAAAACCTTAAACTCAAGTCACAGAACCCCTTGATTGTCCGATCATATACAATAATGAATGGCCTTGCTTGTGGCTAATAATCCCTTATATTTTACTTGCCTGTGATCTAATCTCTTATATTTTAATTTATGTAAAATTAGGCTTATTTTCACCTATAATTTGTTAGTCATATAGATAGGGGGCAAAAAATATTATCATATCTTTTAATATATATTATAATATCTTTCAAATATATTTATTATTTCAATGTTTACATGAAATATGTATTCAATTTATGTATTTTAGCCTAACTAAAAAAAAAATTAGAGTAATTATGAAAAATTTATTAAACATATTGTATTTTTTTTCAAACCTAAGAAATGGTCAGTATAATTTATCGTGTCTACTTTTTTATACATTACACTTTGTAAATGCCATTAGACATTGATAATAGGAAATTGATGAATCATTAACATAAATATTTACAGTAATGTTACATCCACCGAATTTGGGCTCGTTTGAATTGTCTGAATTTGTGCATGTCAGTTGACACACCAGTCATCCAGGAGGATACTGATCCTCCGGGTGGATGCATGTTGACACGCCGGTTGACAAAGGTGATATCAGTCATTCGAGCGGTCGTCTGATTTATGTAATTCGAATAATTCAGGCAAGCCCAAATTCAGTGGATCAATCATTAACATAAATCTTTAACAATTTTCAATAACCCATCTGAAATTAACACCCAAATGGGAATAGTCCTTCCTAGCTATGTACAGAATATTCTATGTGATCTATAGTAATTTAGAATACAATACAAACATTAGATTAGTTAGAGAAGAAAACACCCATGCAATCCCCTTGTTTGGGAAGTTGACTATTTTAGTTGATTATTTGACTTTTTAGTTATTTTAGCGAGGCTAAAATAGTTATGTTTAGAAAGTTGGTTGACTTTTTTTTGCAATTGATTTGATGGTTGTGAGAAAAAAAGGCTCCCCGGTTTCTTTTGGAAATTATACCTGTAATTCTTATAATTTTAATTGTATCAATTTGAGACCCACTATTGGGTAATTTGGCTGGTTAACCCATGGATCTGCTTCCCTTTGGGCCCATATTGGATTTAGGGCCCAGTGAATAATACTTATCAACTCCACAAACCTAACATATTTTATATTTGTGAGACATGTATTTCATTTTGGTGCGCAAAGTTCACTGGAATGATCACTCCATGAAAATATTCATTCCTATGTTTGATTAGACTAAAAAAATAATGACAAATACATAATAAATGAAATCATCTTTTTTACAATTTTAAAGGAGTGATTATTTTATAGGAAAGTCTAAGGAATCACTATTCCATTTCATTCTCTCTCATTTCAATAAACTTGTTTGGAAAGTGTTTAGTATATTTTTTGACTTTTTACGAAAAAACGTGAAATATGAGTTGAGTTTGAAGTGATGTGGTAGAGAGGTGATATGACCCAAATAAGACGATTGTGACCCAAATAGGATAATGTGTTAAAATAGCTTGTATTTTAGCACATGCCAAAAAAGCACTAAATAGAGTATCTGCGTTTGGTGTTTATGATGCTAGCATTATTGTGGCCTTGTTTGGGAAGTTGACTATTTTAGTTGGTTATTTGACTTTTTAGTTATTTTAGCGAGGCTAAAATAGTTATGTTTAGAAAGTTGGTTGACTTTTTTTTGCAATTGATTTGATGGTTGTGAGAAAAAAAAATGAAATGATTATGGGTTGGATGTGACATTTTGTCTTATTAACTATTTTAACTTATTTTATCTTTTAATAAGCTATTTTAACGTAACCCTCCTCCCAAACACCCTATATATAAATAAGAACACACAGTTTGTTGTAGTCCACTAAAGTTAAGTAAAGTTGAGTGCAGTTGAGTTCCTGAGGTTGACTAGGGGTTTAATTGTAATGATTTATTCACTGGTGTTTTGGAAAGAAAGTTAAAAACTAGTTTTTTGACTTTTTTGAAAAACGTATGTAAAAAAATGTGAAAAGTGATGTGACCCAAAATGAGTAAAAAAGTTGGCTTTTGGTTTTTAACCCATTTCCCAAATAGGGCCTAAATTGTTTATCATACGGACTCTTATGTGCATATATTTATTTAAGGGGAACTTACTGATAAGTCCCATGTAACAAGTTCAAAATCCAATTAATCCCAAAACAAAATACTTGCACCAATTAGTCCAACACATTTTTAATTGTTACCAAAAAATCCTTTTTTTTTTTTTTAAATTAACTAGATTAAAATTTAGATTAATCAAAATATATAGAATCTATTTATTCATTGATAATTTATACACAAAACTAACTAGATTAAAATTTAGATTAATCAAAATAGAATCTATGCTGTCGTGCAATTCGCTTGGTAGAACAAGCCACATGTATAAAACAAATATCTTCAGTTACCTGCCAGTTAAGTTGTGAAAGCTATAAAGATCATCCGGTGAACTCAATGTGAAGTTGCTTGGAAAAATGAAAATTTTGCTTAAGATTTTGAAAGTCTTAAAAGTAAATATCAAAATACGATATTACCTAATGAAGTTTTTAAAAAGTTAAGGTTCCGATTGTAAGAATTTTTTGAAATTTTTTCATCAGTCTTAAGTGATCTAATAATTGACTCACCTCTTATGAATACTCATCTAAATAGTATATAATGATAGGGGCATTTAACAACTTTTGACCACTCGGTAGCCTTGATCAGGAATGCTATGTACCATATACGAAGAAAAAAAAAAAGTTTATACATACAGAAAGTAATGTTCATCATTGCATAGATGTGAGATAAAATATTTGTATTTATAATTGTGATAGATGCAAATATTTTATCTTACATCTATATAGGATTGTTAAATGATAAAATATTTGTATTTATAATTGTGATAGATGCAAATATTTTGTCTTACATCTATATAGGATTGTTAAATGAATCAAATTAATCGAGCTGGACTTGTATCCTATTGGCACAGTTACACAAAAAATTCATTTTTCTATACTTTTTTATATAGATAAATTACATTTACACTCTTGCATTTTATACCAATATCTACTTTAGTTTCCCGTCTTCATATGTCTCGCCTGTGTATCGGGAGGGTAATTTTGTGGCTTATTGCCTATGTAGGTTAGTCTTTTTCCACGTGTTTGGATAGAAGCTGAAAGTTATGCCTTCATCCTTATTGTCGTTGGTTGCATCTAGGGTCCCTTTTGTTTTGTAATTGCTTTCCTTATCTTAAAAAAATAAAAATGTAGTCCTTTTGTAATTGCTTTCCCTAATTTCATGGAATCAACTGAATCATAGAAAATTTGTAGTGATTTCATTACTACAAATTCTGCTTTTACACGTTTCCGCTACATTACACACCTATTTATCAGTTCGATCTTTTGCGCAGGGCCTTGACTACTCATACGGAGTCTGGCAGTTCGAAGGCTATGGTTTCGTCCCAAACTCAACCTTCGGTGCTACAATTGTGCAGATCCATGGCGCGACCAATTACACCACAACTATCATACTGAGGATCTACAATTGGGACATGAGGTACTACAGTGTTGATCTTGTGGATACAGACTTGTATGATAAATGGTTCAGGGTTAACTTAATCCATGACGTGGATAAAAGAAATCTCACAGTTTTCATTGATGGTGTGAAAAAATTTGAAACAAAAGATAGAGGTGCAGGTGCTGGAGACTTTTATTTCAAATGTGGTGTGTATGTTGCACTAGCAAATATAAGCTATTACATGGAGTCAAGGTGGAGAGACATCAAAATATACAAGTCACGTTAGATAGAGCGGTGTTTGGTTTACAAAAAAATAAACCAAGATGGAAGAGCTTAGTCTATAAAAGGAAAAGGGTGAGTGCATACTTTGTTGTTAATGTTTTAAATTAATACAACTAAATATATGTTTAATTGGACCAAATATTTTCCAAGGGCAGCTTCAGCAATTCCAAGGGCACCAAATCCATCTGCATCAAGGGCAAGTTCACAAACACAAAGGGAAACTTCAGCAACAAAAGCAACTTCAACATCAAAGACAACAATAGCAGTAGGAACAAGGACAACACCAACAGCAACGAGTGCAACAACAACAAAGGCAGCATCGTCACAAACATTTGAAGCATCAAGGGGAGCAACATCAACACCAACAATAGCCTAATTTACATGGAGAGGGATGAATGTTGTGAACTTGTCCTCACTTCAGAATGCATCTGCCTCTAAGGAGAAGAACCCAAAGTAGGGGTGTTGTTTATTTTGATTATCAAACACTTTTGACAATGTGGCATGTTTTGTCTATGTAGTTATGGATACTGCCAGCATGTGTGCATCATCATGAACATGTGGCCACTTTGACTTGGTGGGTACCAACAATATATTTTATGAAAATCATTATGGCCATTTGTGTGTTCTTGTGGATATTGGCTTCATTTGTGACAATGTAGTTATGGATACTGCCAGCAAGTTTTCCCCCCCTTCGCTGTCATGTAGTGATCACATGTTTTTCATCTTACTAACTTTTGTTGAAGAGTCATTAAAGAGTTAAACAGTGAGAGTAATAGAAGGGCCAATGTGACACTTGATCAAAAGTAGTCCTGTAATCACTTAAAATTGCAATTGGGATATAACAAAATGCCACAAAAGATAAAATTAAATGTAGGAAAACATTATGGTATACACTCCTCAAATGGTATGTACAATATGCACTTTATAATTAAAGAATAAAATAGCATAATTTCATACTTTCTGAATTATAACAAAAAAACTGTCATAATTAAACATAACATGAGCCATAACTAAAAACATTTCATGAAAAACCGTCATTTTTTTTAATTTATATTTTCAACATAAATATTTTTTAATCAAAAATGTTTTTAATATAAAAACGGTTTTAGAAAAGACATTTCATGAAAAACCATTTTCACAATTATTTATTTATGTTTTTTTTCATGTGGGAAGGTTGGACTTGGGAACCAAAAGGAATGAGAGAGAGAGAGAGAGAGAGAGAGAGAGAGAGCGGCAATTCCAATGCATGCAAAGATGGGTTTCTTTAGAAAATCACAACATAGACAAAGCATAATCCATATAATACTCCAACAAAACATAATCTCATCAAGTTTCCACTTTCAATTAGTTATTATATAAAACATATATTATATATACACACATTCCTGGATCTTTAGAAAATCACATACATGGCCGGCCCAGGCCTGCACCTTGGGCCCCCAACTAGGGGCTCCAAATATAATTTTGTGTTTTAGATATTAAAAAAAAAAGTTCAAATATTATAGACCCAATAGAACTTGGGGCTTAAAAAAAAACAAGAAGACTAGATTTTTATTTTTTTTTAAATATTTGTAATGATTGCTTCCTATCTTAATATATGAAAATAATTTTTTATTTATAATTTTAATGATTATATGTGCAAGTAAATTTTTTTTGTGGCTACAAACAAATAAAAAAGTTATAACTTTTCATTTTATCTATGAATTTTTATTTATTTTTTCAATATAAGAGGGCCCAATTTCTGAAGTTCGCCTTGAGCCCTCAAAATCTCAAGGCCGGCCCTGACCACATATATTATATATACACACATTCCTGCATCTGTGATTTATGGTCCATCAAGAACAGAACAAGATGACAAGAGTATCCACCCAAAGTCAAGTCAAGTCTACCTATAATAATAAAAGTAATATTATGGATTCAAATATAAAAATAAAAAATTATTCAAAATTTTATATTAATAGTTTCTATTTATTTTATATACAGATCTCACACTATATAAATTCAATCTTTACCACGTATTCCTCTATCTAGAAAAATCTGGATAGATATGTCACGGTTCATAACAATTTTGCAATAATAATAATAATAATAAAAGTAAATTACTAAAAATATGTAAGTTGATAAAATTATTACATATGCATGAAAAAAATTATAATTATAATTATTAATATTAACAAAATTTATTATTAATTTATAATTGTTTTCAAAATTATATCCTGATATTATTCTTATTAAAAAAAACAAAATGACAGGAATTGCCAAAAGTCAAGTCAAGTCAAGTCTGCATCTAATATTATTGTTATTGTTAAAAGTTGTAATTTTAAAATTATGTATCATTGTGTTGTTTAAATTATCAACAGAATGATTATGATAAATGATAAAGTTATGTTTTACTTCTTTTTTGTTCGTTAGCGTTTAGGATTCAAAGTTACACCAAAAAAATAAAAATAAAAGAGTTTAGGATTTAAAGTGACAAAAATTAAAATATTAGAGTCCAAAATACATGAAATTCATATTTTAGAAACTATAGATATTATTTCATTATCATTTTGTTGATTTAGATGATTTGTTTAAAATTGAATCAATTCAATTCGACTCAAAGTGAATATTTGAACGATAATATTAAAAAATTTAAAAATCAAAGTAACACGAACAAGTATATTTATAGAAATGTATTTTATCCTAATTTATAATAATATGGTGAGAGCTGCAAATGAAACTATTGGAGGATCAAACACGGGGCAAGGTCGTTCATCCAAATGATTGGATGCTTATGTTGTATAATTTGTTACAGAAGTGATGGTCCAAAGATATCTCTTTCATATGCATCGATTTGGCATGATCTTATTGGTCATCAATTTCCCAAAATTGAATACTTCCTAGTGGAGGGTCCAAACCAAAACTATCGAAAGAAATACCTCTCCAGGTTCGATAAAAAAAAATAATTTTCCAAGTTCTATTATCTATAAATACCTCTCCATGCTCTTGTTGCTCTTTATCCCTCCATTCTATTACTGTCTCTCATAGCTTTCTATTCTATTAATAACAAGCCTACAATGACATGCTTGCCCAATATACTTCCCAACAACTTTCTTTCTTTCCCAGCCCTTTTACTCTGCCACATCATCTTTGCATTGCCCACTCTTTTTGATTATGCTGCTTTTGCTTCTTCCTTAACTGGAAAACAAGCAACTGAAGCCACGGCTCTCTTGACGTGGAAAGCTAGCCTTCACAACCAAACTCAAATTCTCATGTCCTCCTGGGTTGGAACCAACCATTGCACTTGGCTTGGAATTGGTTGCAACAAGGCTGGTAGAGTTGCACATATAGACCTTCATGGTTATGATTTGAAAGGTACTCTTTCTAATCTTAATTTCTCATGCTTTCCTCATCTCCTCACCCTTCAACTTTTTAACAACTCACTTTATGGGACCATCCCCCCCCTCATATTGGTAGCCTTTGGAGACTCACCGTCCTTGTCTTGTCACTTAACAATCTCTCTGGAACAATTCCGACCGAAATAGGCCAACTAACTAATCTAAGAATCTTGTACCTCAATAGAAACCCAATCGGTGGCTCCATCCCTCAACAAATAGGATTGCTCAGCTCTCTCAATGAGCTCAGCTTGTCTACTAACAATCTCACCGGTTCAATCTCTTCTTCAATTGGAAACTTGGGCAACTTAACCATTTTGAACCTTTTTGACAACCAACTTTCCGGATCAATCCCTCAAGAAATTGGGATGCTAGTGTCTCTTCACGGTCTCAGTCTCTATAGTAACCATCTCACCGGTTCAATTCCCGCATCTATAGGGAACTTGGGCAACTTAACCATTCTATACCTTTATGACAACTGACTTTCCGGATCAATCCCTCAAGAAGTTGGGATGCTGAGGTCTCTCGTTGATCTTAAACTCTCAAGAAACAACCTCATGGGTTCAATCCCTGCATCAATAGGGAACTTGGGCAACTTGATAACTCTGTGCCTTTTTGACAACCAACTTTCCGGATCAATCCCTCAAGAAATTGGGATGCTGGTGTCTCTTCATGGTCTCAGTCTCTATAGTACCATCTCACCGGTTCAATTCCCACGTCTATAGGGAACTTGGGCAACTTAACCACTCTATACCTTTATGACAACCAACTTTCCGGATCAATCCCTCAAGAAATTGGGATGCTGAGGTCTCTTGTTCATCTCGAACTCGAAAGGAACAACCTCACTGATTCAATCCCTCAAGAAATTGGGATGCTCAGGTCTCTCGTTGATCTCGATTTCTCAAGGAACAAGCTCACATGTTCAATCCCTGCATCTATACACTACTACAAAAATAGTTAAATATCACACTTTGACAAAAAAAAAATATCTCACTTTTATTGGAAGTGTGATAAAAAAAATTAGATTGATATTTTAATCACACTTAATTTGATTGACTGTGATAATATTTATTTTTTATGTCACTTTTCAATTAAGTGTGATTATATATATATTTTTTCAATCACACATTCTAATTAAAGTGTGATTATATATATACTACTACTTTTTAATCACACTTTTTAAATAAGTGTGATTAGATATATATTTTTTAATCACATATTCTAATTAAAGTGTGATTATTTATATATATTTTTAATCACACCTTCTAACTAAAGTGTGATTATATATATACTACTACTTTTTAATCACACTTTTTAAATAAGTGTGATTAGATATATATTTTTTAATCACATATTCTAATTAAAGTGTGATTATTTATATATATTTTTAATCACACCTTCTAACTAAAGTGTGATTATATATATACTACTACTTTTTAATCACACTTTTTAAATAAGTGTGATTAGATATATATTTTTTAATCACATATTCTAATTAAAGTGTGATTATTTATATATATTTTTAATCACACCTTCTAACTAAAGTGTGATTATATATATACTACTACTTTTTAATCACACTTTTTAAATAAGTGTGATTAGATATATATTTTTTAATCACATATTCTAATTAAAGTGTGATTATTTATATATATTTTTAATCACACCTTCTAACTAAAGTGTGATTATATATATACTACTACTTTTTAATCACACTTTTTAAATAAGTGTGATTAGATATATATTTTTTAATCACATATTCTAATTAAAGTGTGATTATTTATATATATTTTTAATCACACCTTCTAACTAAAGTGTGATTATATATATACTACTACTTTTTAATCACACTTTTTAAATAAGTGTGATTAGATATATATTTTTTAATCACATATTCTAATTAAAGTGTGATTATTTATATATATTTTTAATCACACCTTCTAACTAAAGTGTGATTATATATATACTACTACTTTTTAATCACACTTTTTAAATAAGTGTGATTAGATATATATTTTTTAATCACATATTCTAATTAGTGTTGTATAAGGTTTATGGTGTGAGAGGGTTGATGGTTCAAATCTCCACAAGAGCAAATAAGAAGTTAGTGAGTGTAATATTTTTTTTTTGTATCTAAATGTTATTAATCACACTTAAAATGTGTGATCTAAATATTTTTAATCACACTTAAAAGGTGTAATCTAAATGTTGTTAATCACACTTAAAAAGTGTGATCTAAATATTTTTAATTACACTTAAAATGTGTGATCTAAATGTTATTAATCACACTTAAAAGGTGTGATTAAAAATAACCCTTTTTAATCACACTCCCAAATATCACACTTTAATAAAACTTAAAAGGTGTAATTAAATAGCATACATCACACAAAAAAAGTGTGATCTTTATCTGTTTTTGTAGTAGTGACAGGGAACTTGAGCAACTTAATCACATTGTTACTTTTCGAGAACAGACTTTTTGGATCTATTCCCCCAGTGTTCAACAATCTTACACATTTAACAGAGTTTAGCATAAGTGATAACATGTTCAATGGTCATATCCCAGAAGGCCTATGCTTTAATGGATTGCTGGTTAATTTTACAGCAAATGGTAATAATCTCATAGGTCCCATCCCAAAAAGCTTGAGAAATTGCTCTAGCTTATATAGGGTTAGGCTTGAAAGAAACCAACTTTCGGGAAATATATCAGAAGATTTTGGCATATACCCAAACTTGGATTACATTTATTTGAGTCATAACAATTTCTATGTGAGGTATCCCAAAAATGGAAAAAGTGCCATAATTTAACTAGTCTCAAAATATCCAACAATAATATTTCTGGTGAGATACCATCTGAAATAATGGATTCAACTCAACTATGTCTCCTTAACCTCTCTTCAAATCACCTAGTTGGACAGATCCCAGTGAAATTAGGAAAGATGGTTTCATTGTTCAACCTTAGGTTGGATGATAACCATCTATCAGGGAATATTCCTCCAGAATTCAGCAAGTTGTCCAATCTGCAATATCTTAACTTGGCAAGAAATGATCTGAATGGTTCAATCCCTAGAGGACTAGCGGAGTGCAAGAAACTTTTGAACTTGAATTTGAGCAATAATAGATTTGGGGAAAGCATTCCTGTTGAAATAGGTCATATCCATCACCTTCAAAGTCTTGATCTTGGTCACAATTTGCTAATAGGTAAGATACCACAGCAGATTGGAGAATTGCAAATATTAGAAATACTAAATCTCTCCCATAATGAACTCTCTGGTTCCATTCCATCATCTTTCGATAATATGTTAAGTTTGACATCGGTAGATGTATCTTTCAATCAGTTTGAGGGTTCTATTCCTAAAATGAAAGCCTTCCGTGAGGCTCCATTTGAGGCACTCAAAGGTAATAAAGGTTTATGTGGTAATGCTACTGGTTTGAAAACTTGTCCAGCAAAAATGAACAATGAGGTAGCTAAGAAAAAGGGTAACAAAGTTGTGTTACTTATTGCTCTTCTTTTTGGATTTCTATTTCTTTCATTAATGGTTGTCGGAATAGTACTCTTGGTTTTTTGTAAAAAATATAGGAACTCGAAAATTGAGCCAAGACAAGTAAATAAAGAAAATTTGTTTGAAATTTGGAGCTATGACGGAAAAATGGTGTATGAAAGCATCATTGAAGCGACTGAAAACTTTAGTACCAAACATTGTGTTGGGGAGGGAGGATGCGGTACTGTTTATTGAGCTGATCTCACAAGTGGTCAGGAAGTTGCTGTGAAGAAACTTGATGTATCACCCGATGGTGACTTGGCTAATCTGAAAGGCTTTTTGAGTGAGATCCGTGCATTAACAAAGATTCGCCATCACAATATTGTAAAACTTTATGGCTATTGTTCACACCGAAGGCACTCATTTTTGGTTTATGAGTTCTTGGAAAGAGGAAGCTTAGGAAAGATATTGAGCACGGAGGATCATGTATCATACTTTGACTGGATTAAGAGAGTGAATGTTGTCAAAGATGTGGCAAATGCTTTGTCTTATATGCACCACGATTGTTCTCCAACAATCATCCATCGAGACATATCAAGCAAGAATGTTTTGCTTGATTTAGAGTCCGTGGCTTACATATCCGATTTCGGCACAGCTAGATTTTTGAAGCCTGACTTATCCAATTGGACTTCATTTGCTGGAACCTTTGGTTATGCTGCTTCTGGTATATATTTACCCAAGTAGGGTTTGTTCATTTTAACTTACTAATGATGACAAATTGCTAGATTTAAGCTTGTTATTCCATTTGTTTCTAATATGCATACCCTTAAATTCTCATGTATGATAAAAAGCCATTTTGGATGAAAAATATGCACTGAAGTATATAGAGTTGCAGATGTGTTAGCTAATTGGGGTTGTGATAATAATTCTTATTTTTCTACTTTTTAAGAGCCTTGTAGATTGGTTAAACATGTTGTGGTTTTAGATAGGTTTGGTACATTGTGTATATATATATATTCAAGTTTGTTAGTATTGATTCTTTTTTGGACCAAATTACACTGTATCCCTATACTTTACACCATTTATTACTTTGCCGCTTGACTTTTAAATTATTTCAGTCAGCCCCTAGACTTCAAGTCCAGTTTCAATTGGGCCTAAGCATATAACATTTTCTTAAAATGAGATTTTGGTAAAAATACAAGTGTTTTTGGGTAAGTAAAAATACAAGTTGATAAGGAATAATGTGAGATTTTGATAAAAGTGCAGGGGTGCTAATTGTAATTAATCTTATCACATGACTATTCTTTGTTAGTTTTTGAAACAAGGTTATACAAATGGGCCCAATTCCAATTTGACTCGAAATTTGGAGGGCTGACTAAAACAATTAAAAGATCAAAAGGTAAGGTGAGATTAGATATAAAGTATAAGGATGTAAAGTGTAATTTACCCATTCTTTTGCATGAACATTTTTTTTCTTCTATTGCTTGAGAGAAAAGGCTCATTACCCCTCTCGATTTTAGATTATTGATAAATTTCTCCTTATGTCGTCAAGGTTTACCAAAAAATAAAAAATAAAAACTCTTTTTTGCAAGACATGGAATATTTTCTCTTTGTTTAACGCTCATTTAAGAAAATGATTATTTCAGCAGGATTCTATGTGTTTCCTTTATTTTGGTATTTATGGTTATAGTTGAGACTTTGGCCCACTCTAATGACCAACTACTTGTGCAGGGATGGATCGAGGGGGCTGGCAGGGCGACCGCCACCCCAAAATTTTGAAATAACTCCTTAAATATAGTGGTATTAGTTATCAATATTTATAAATTATATATGCTCACCCCTCCAAGATTTTATTGATTTTCTTTAACTCGATTTGTAGTGTTAAGTTTCAATCGTTACTCTTCTAACTATAGGTTTCCTTTCTCTCTCTGCCTCTTATTCTTCTTGTTTGTTTCGGTTCTTCTCTTCTTTTCTTGTTCTTCTTTTTCCTCAATTTTTTCCTATCTTTTTTGTTATTTAAATTCTGTCCAGAACTCAATTTCCATTTGGACTTTTTCTTCCTCTTCTTCATCTCTATTTTAAAACAACTTATACTTTCAATTCTTCCTCCTTTACTTATTTCTGTATTTAAATTCTGTCTTTCTTTATTCTTCTTCTTCTTCTTCTTTGACTTAATTACATTCGATAAAAGTCGTATTTGCCAACAAAGAGATCACATTACCATTGAGCATTTTCAAGTTGACATTTTACAATCACATGCAATACTCAATTACAAGAATTAAAAAAAATTGATTTTAAAAAAATGATTGATTTTTCAAAATTAAAGATATTTAAAATTAATTTTTTAACACAAGTAGTATTTTTTTCTCCTTGATTATAAGTTCGCCCCTTATGATTGAAATCATGCATCCATCCTTGCACTTGTGAACAGTTCTTCAAAAGACACTGTACATAGTTCATTGCTTCAAAAACTTATATTTCTACTATTAACATTTGGCAGTGAGCAAATTTTCATTAATTCTTTATTTCTCTCAAATTGTTTAGGTTGGTCATCAAATCAGAAAGACTAATAACACTTGAAAGACTTTAGTTAATATTGGTGACTAACAATCCTATTGATGTCTTGAAAATCATGTATGAAAAGGTAGGTAGTTGCTTCAATGAATTAACTATCCTATTTTAAGATATTCATAGTTCTCAGGTTTTCATATTTTGAAATTTTGGCATTGGCATTCATCAAGCATTTATATAATTTCCTTCTTTTGGAACCCCAAACTATTCGCATCATTTATCAAAGAATTCCAAGCAATTTAATCAATGTTTGGAAATGGGCTAGGAGCACTTTTGTTTGCTTTTCCACCCTTTCTTTATTTAATTATTTTCTATTGTTGGGCATTTTTAATTTTGGGCAGAACTTGCTTATACAATGGAAGTGAATGAGAAGTGCGATGTTTATAGTTTTGGGGTGTTAGCACTGGAAGTGATTATAAGGAAGCATCCGGGTGATCTAATCTCCTCTTTATCATCATCCTCGTCCTCATCATCAACATCAACTACGCAAGGGATATTTTTGAAGGACATCTTGGACCAACGCCTCCTACCTCCAAGGAATCAAGTGGCAGAGCAAATAGTTGTTGTTGCGAAACTAGCATTTGCATGTTTACACACCACTCCACTATCTCGGCCAACCATGCAACAAGTTGCTACGATACTATCAAAGCAAAGGCCAACACTGCAAAATCAATTCTACACGATTACATTAGGACAACTCTTTGACATCAACTGCTCGAGCTCTTGAGTATTTATTTTCCCTTTTATTCTTGGATTGCATGATGTTCTTGCTTTCAATTGTCTTCTTATACCATTCAATTTCACCATGTTTCCAATCTATTTTGCTACTATTTTCTACTAATTACCATTTTACAAACTTTTATATGCCTAATTTAAAAGTACCAATCCTCTATAATTTCCATCACAGTTAGAGATACAATAATGTGTCTTGAATTCTGCAGTAGCTCACTTGTTGTATTACATATATCTTGGCGCTCGATCAACAAGTAGGCTCTGTGGTTAGCGTGATCCAACCATGAATAATAGACACACTCAAGCTCTGGCGATCTTGCATGCTATCAACATGTACGACATTGTATAATATCCTTGTCTTCTTGATTTTTGTATTTCCAGGTAGCTGGTGAACAAGATTTTCCATGGGAACTTGGCTCCACTATTATTGGACATCTATGACTTTAGTCCTGAGTTCCAAAAGCCAAGAGAACCAAGCTTCTTTTTTTTTTCGAGAAATGCAAGGATTCAATTGAGTCTTCTTTGGTCATCTTAACCAAAGGGCAATCATCTTAGTTTTGGGTGGGTTTGTTTGTCCTGTTTTGATTTTGCTTCTAGCAGGGTAGTGGTGTGGTGTGTTGCTTTCATTTTTTAGGATTTTGTCTCCTATACTAGACTTGGGTGGTGTTTTTCTTTCGATCTCTCTATTCCTATGGTTCACTTGTGATTGCTTTGTATATGAAATAAAGTTCATGAATCACACCTACAATATTTAACAAGCATTCAAGGTTAGAACCAATTTGCATAGGATGGACAATTCCTTGATCATTTCATAAACTCTTTCCTCCTTCCACTCATTCTCTCAAATAAACAAAGAAATGCTAAATCTTTGTATGTCCCTAAACCTCAAAAAGGGCTTTAAGTTTATAATCTAATCTTCAATTTGCAGCAGTGTAGGCATGGTGCTGGGCTTGAGCTTTTGCTCTGTTTCCTCTGTTTTGCTTCTTTTTTGTGTAGCCATATTGAAACCTCTCCAATTCTAAT